CATAAAATCTAAAACCAAAATAAAAAATCGTTTTCTCTCAGTTTTGTTTTAAGTTTCTTGTAATTTGTTCTTGCTTTTGCATTAATAAACCGACAAAATAATCAAAAGAAACATTATTTGCTTCAGTTTGCTATTTATTTTGAATTTTCATAAAGAAAATCCCATAAAAATTGTTAACATTTTTGTTAACTTTCAATTCAGTTTCTCTGTTTTCTGCATTCATAAATTAAAAAAAAAAAACCAAATAAAAATCATTGTTTCGGTCGTTTTAGTTTGTTTCATTAAAAACAAATTTTTTTTGTTAATTTACTTGTTTTGAAAATTTGCCATAAACTTGTTTCCTTTTGTGTTGGTCGAAATCTTTCTTATTTCCTTTGTTATCTTGAGTAAAGACATGCGTCTAATTTATTCTGCTTGTTTCTTTTGTGAGGATAACCCAGAATGAAAACCAGAAACAATGGAGTATTATGAAGCAGAAGAAGGCCATTACGAGTTAATCTCTAGTGAAGAGTATGATGAACAAATCCAGAGTTTGTCCGATGGAGATGTTGACTATGAAGCACCGCCGTGGCCAGGAGATTGTTATTCGAGATCTGATTTTGAGGAAGCGACAGATGTTGAAGGATCTAATTCTGAATTCGAAGATGAATCAGACGGTGAAGATTTTGAACCAAAGACACCATACTATGAAGAAAGTGATTCACAATTCAGTGGAGAAGAAACCAAGCAATATGGTGAAGAAACTTGGCACCATGAGATTGAATCTGAAGCTGAAGAAGCATGGGATGAAAGAACTGATTCTGAATTTAGTTATGAGACTAAACCTGAGTGTGAGGGAAGTCCACAATGATTCAGCAACCAACTACGAAGAAGATTCTGAACAGGAGGAGTCTGAATTAATTGATGAAAACTATTCAATGGAGGATGAGCTAGATTTCGAACCATATCACATATGTTTTGCGGGTCATCACCAAGGACCATAAGCATACTTGAGATGGGAAAGAGATATGGAGGATTGGATACAAGCCAACCAAATCCGTGAGGAGGAGAAAAGTATTATGCCAAAGATACTCTCACCGAAAATGCTTTTAGGCAATGGGAACAAGACGTGTACCTAAGGCTTGAGTACGACGAACCAGATGCTTCTTCGGAAGAGATGAAACAAATGTTGCGCAAAGAGTTTGTGGAGGATGCTGATTGCGAAAGCAATATAAAGATTTATACAAATCCTGAGCCAAGAAGATGGATTTTAGCAACAAGGCCAAATCCAAAAGCAAAGCAAAAGAAGTCTTTATTTCTGGAGCCAAAGAAAGTGTTCCCTAGAAATGTAGAGAACAAAACAAAGGCTAAGTGTGGGAGTCAGATCTGCACAGTTGAATTTGTCAAGGGTGTTTGGAGATTAGAGATTTCTATGTCGTGGACTTACTTAGAACAAAGACTGAGAATAAGATTCTTTATTGCTGTTTCTGTTAAGCTGTGATTACAAGTGTGTTTCTCTGCCAAAAGTTCTGAACCCCTTTTTGGGTGAATACAATGAAATATATATAGTGTTAAGTAAGTAGACCAGCTAATAAAATGGGTTTGGCCCATTAAACAATATATCTAATTTAGACCCATTATTTCATTAAGCCCATTTTGATTATGGGGCTAATGTCATTTTGGGCCTAGATTCAGACTGGGCCCTTGTAAACTTGATCTGATTTTGTCAGGACGCTGCAGAGTTGATCTCGTCGTTATATGGATCTCATAGGAGAGAATTCTGACCCCTACGGTTAACCCCCCAGCTTGGTAGTATCGAGTTTCGATGATGCCTAGGTAAAAGTTGCGGAAGTCTGAGATCGATATGATGGACTGTGAAGTTGCCAGGCGTGGACGTCTTGTCATCAAACTCGGGAAGTTTCCGCTATTCCGCGCTGAGCCGATGTCAGCGTGTTTTCCTGGACTTGATATGTTAGTCTGCGACGTTGTCAGGCGTGGACGCCTTATCATCGAACTTGAGAAGTATCTCTTATTCCGCGTTGAGCCGATGTTACCGTGTTTTCCTAGACTTGCTTTCGTTTTCTTTGACTTGGAGGATTGATGGAGTTCATGTCTTGTTACATTAGTGGGCCGTGATGTCTGCTGAAAAATTTCTGGAAATTTTCCAAAAAGTAAAGTGATTTTAGGAAATCCTCCGGATATAAATAAGTCTGCTGCCTTTGCGTTATTTTTTACCAATTCACTTTCTCCTTTAACGCAAAGAGGTAAAAATTCATTTCCC